TTGTGGAAGATCCTTGGCATCCACGTGATGGGTGAGCTCAGCCGCCCGAGCAAGGCTGACAAGCGCTGCACAATGTGTGCTTGCGATGTCAGCCGAAGTCTTGTCGCCACACGTATGGCCGTAGATGACATTCAACAGCATCGCTTGAACCAGCCATAGCGGAGTATTTTGCACGGAGCTATCGCGCGCGTGGCTGGCTCGCCCGAATGCGGCTGACATGTCCACCTTACGACGTTCCTCAAGATAGAGTTGAATCATTTTCTTGGCAGCCTCGAAGAGATCTTTCGATGCAGCGGTGTCAAACTCGTAAAGTGCTCCAATGGCGGCCATGGACAAAATCAACGAGCCGCCACCGCCAGAGACACCGGTCGAGCACAGATTCAAATGTCCACTGGGAGTTCGGAGATTATTGGTGTATTCGGGAGCCTGGAAATCAAGCGTGGGAATGTGGAGGAATGGCATGTGCGGGTGGAAGTAGGTAATGTAGGCGGAAATATAACGCTGCATGTCCAAAGTGCTGGGCAGCTGGCCGGAGCTGCTGAGGCTGGAAGGGCGAGAGAAGAGATCACGATATTGTACCATGCTGCTAGCAGGTTGAGAGTATTTGCGATGAATCAGACCGGTCGGATGGGCCATGCTGGCTAATAAAGCCTGTCGGGTGGAGTCTGTAAAGGTATCCGAGGAGGTTGGGGCATGGTGAGATCGTAGGGCACTATTCGCGAAAGGCAAGTTGAGAGGATTAGGAGATTCTCCGTTGGTTGCCATAGAGGATGGGAACATACTCTGCGAGTGTCCTCCCATGATGGGCTGGCCCACTGAAGTCATGGACGGAGGGGTGGCATACGTCTCTGCGAACGGATTCTGCGCCAGCAAGGACTTGGGAGAAACGGTCTCTGGAGGGATTCCTAGATCGTTAAAACTAGCCGGGTAGTCAAGAGAGTACTGGTTCGCAGAAGCGGCAGTCGTGTGGGGCGGGAACGGATTGTGCCAGCTTGCGGACGAGATGGAGTAGCGGTTCGACCCGTCCATCATGGCCTCGCTGATACCGCTCTGACTTCCGGTGCTCATGGCCGACGGAGATGACTCGTCGATGGCGGAATCGTTGCTCTTACGCATCTGCATCGACGGGTCGTAGCCGTTCATCCAATCGAAGTGGAAATCATCCTCCATCATGGGATCCGTGGGGGGCATGTGGTGAACCGCATGCGTGTAGGGCGATGAGGGTGAGTCGTTGCCGTACGCTTGAGGTGAGCCGCCAAAGTGGAGCTGGGCGGGGTTGATGGTGGTATTATAGCTCATTGCCAGGTCTGGGACGCTGAGGTCAAAGGTTCCATAGACGGGAGCCGTCCGCAGTCCCCCAGACAGGTCAATCGGCAAGCCCGACGTATCCAGCTTGGTGAGTCCGTTCACCGGGGGATGATGTCCTCCTGCAGAGAATCCACGGAAATCCATGTTAGATCCCACCGAAGCAGAACCAATGCTCGGGTGATAAGCATGGGCCGGGTGACCGGAGCCAGCGGTCGGAGGGTTGGTTGCACCGACTAAACCCAGCGAAGCACCGTCAATATGACTGATGGTGTTGGCACGAGGACGCATCGTGCTGGGGTTGCTGACGATGGAGTTCTTCCGAACTCGGTTCGTCGTTCCCGTCCCCGCGGTGCCGGTGCTCTCCCTGCGCGCATTCCGTGGACGTGACGATGGGGTGGTTGTCATATGCAGCTTCTGCTGGTGTCTCAGAAGCAGATCGCGACGAGCAAAGCAACGGGCGCATTCGGGGCACTCGAAGGGCTTCTCTTTAGTGTGCGACCGCTCATGGCGCTTGAGATGCTCCAATCGCGCAAAAGAGCGACCGCAAGTGGTACAGCCGTGTGGACGTGGCTTGTCAGTCTTCGGAGGAGGAACGGACCCGGCAGCACTGTTCGCACCATTGGCGTCCTTCTTGGTGCTGGCTTTGGAGGGTGCTGGTCTTGTTAGGGATCAAGAGAGCCATGAGCGAGACCTGTAACTGCAGTCACTCACCCGATAGGTCACCCGGGACCTCGCTGATGCTGTCCATTTTGGGGCTCGTGGCCGGATCTTGGCCTACCATTGAGGCGAGTAGCATCCTATATCACCTGATATTCTTGTGTTCACCAGTGCAGTCACTGGTTTCGGAGGGAGGCTTTGATGCAGGAGTAGGCCTCTTGAATGATGGAGGGACGAGAGCGGGTGAGAGGGGTGGCGGCGATAAATGTATCGAATATCGAGGCGATAGGGAAGGGATCACAGAACAGGGGAATGAGCAGAACCCGACATTGACCGCATGCTGATTCAACGGGAATTGAGGTTAGTTTTGGACCATCATTTGCTCGGAATTGACGAGGCAGGAAATAAAGTGCGGGCAACCAACGGAACTCACCAGAAGACAGGAGGAACCCAGTAACTCTAAGTCAAGTACAAGTAGACAATTAGGGAAGGAAGGATGTCAGGATGACAGAAAATGAGGTGATCGAGAGGACGGAGAGAACGGAGAGGACGGAGAGAAGAATTGGAGGGATATTGTGAGGTGAAATAGTACAAAGAATAGCGAGACGAGGTAGGAAGGTGGGTAGGGGAAGGTGGCAAAGTGGTTCTGTTCCTGGGGGGGGAGGGTTGATCTCGGGGGTCAGCGCAACTTTAATCAGCAGGGGGGGGGAACAGGTAGGTAGGTAGTAGCATTCAACAGTCAACTCTTTTCAAGGGAAAACAATAAGAAGAGAGAGCAAAGACTCAAGAGTAGAAAAGAATTGTAACTCACCAGGAGAGAAGAATAGCAAGAGATTAATGATAAGATGACGAAAGGGACTGAAGAAGTCACTCCACAGCTATCTCATTTAGTAGTAGTAGTAGTGGTGGTGGTGGTGGTAATGAGAGGTGAAGGAGACAAGGTAGTGGAGGTAGTGGAGGTAATGGTGTGAGTGAGCAAGAGAGAGAGACAGGAGAGAGAAAGAGGAAAGTGGATAAGCCGGAGATAACCGAATGGGGAATGGGCCTGTCTGGTTCTCGATAAGCTGGGGGATGACTGACTGGCACTGACTGCAAACAGTACTCCGTACCTAGGATCAACCCGCGTATTCTAGATTCAAATCATTCAAAGAAGACAAATCCACCCGCCCAGATTCTAGAAAGCTATCCAAAAAGAAAAAAAAAATGGAAATCGCAAGGAAATGGATGCAGAGAAATGATGTGCAGAATGGGTGAGTGGATAAGGCAAGTGAAGGAGGGAGGGAGGTAGAAAAAGGAGGGAGAAGGAAGAAAGGTTGATGTCTGAGCAAGGCTGTAGCCGACAGACAGACACTGTCAGTCAGGTAAGGTAGGTAACTAGTAGTAGGAACACTACTTCTCCCTTTCCTAGCACAGAGCAGTTATGAGAACAACACTGGTTCTTTCATTCACTCACTCATTCATTCATTCATTCACAATTTTTGTAGCACCAGCATCAGCAGCAGGGCAAAAATTGTCTTTGGATGTTGCACGGGAAATCCCAGGCAGATAATAATAAATTCATTGCAGTCTTTACATGCCTCCAAGGCGACACCCGACCCAACGTCGTCAGCAAGCCGTGTTCCGGCCAGACTTATCCGGGTGAGGGATTATTAATGATTCCAATTATAGGAAGGTAGAGAATAAGTCAGACAGTCAGTAATCAGAAAGCAATTTAATTAATTGCGATCGCGCGTTTACTCTATCTTAGATTACAGATTAGGAAGATGAAGTGTAAGCTGAAGGGAAGGGTAACCAGGTTACATACACGCATACAAACAACGAACCAGCTTAGTCACTCCAGCCTGTCCCCCAATGATCCGAGCCGGATTGCAGCCAGAGTGGAGCAGGGCGGGTTCAATCCGTGGTCAATTTGAAGCCAACTACGGAGTACAGTAGAGCATGGGCCATGACAGGAAAAGACCCCAAAGGTGCGTGCCAGCAGGGCCCCACTAACTACGCTAGTGCTTGATACAGTCAATCACTCAGTCAATCATTCAACCCAGTCACGGGGGAGAGACCCACCTCTCAAATTGCAATCAATCATGATACCGTTTTGTGACGCCGATACCGTCTCACCCGGACATCGGGAATCGTACGCCGCCTGTCACTGCACTGGAAACCACCACCCACCAGACGTACCTTGTCGTCAGTACTACCCTTAACAAGTTAATCGAGTAGACAAGACTGTCCTCGATTGTCTTCGAAACCACCCCACGTAGACTACCCATAGCTATGGCTAGACAATTGACCACTTCACTAAGTCTTAGTGCGGTCTTAAGTGGCTGCCACTATGACGTGGGGGAAAGTTCTGCAGCAAATCGTCCCGTCCTCCCCTTCCCTAACTCCGGGGACTCTGCTCAGCGACGGGGAAAACAACACAGTCACTATGGCAGTGAAATAGACTTTATCATGGGCTACAGAGTACATACAGACGGGAAACTTACTATCTTCCTGGAAATCGACTCTGTCAGAACATCACCCAGTCCACCCCGGTAGGCCTGGGGCTCCCTGCATCGAGCAATCCCAAAAGCAGCCAATTCCTGTCTCTTGCACGAAATAGGCTTGCACGGGCGATCCTGGTCATATTCTGCAGTGTAAGCTCGGATGCACCCCGATGTCGACCGGAAGGTATCGCTTGCCAGGCCAATTCCTCATCGGAACCCGGCTATGACTCTGAAAGACTGGAAAAACCACGCGGAAATGTGGCCCATCGACTGCGCATCCCTACGGTGGTGTGCACAACGAGGGAGGCTGTGGGAGGCGAGACATGAATGTGATGGGTGAGCCCCCCTGCCTGAGGAAGCCGACATTCGGTCAAGACATCCATTGCGCTGCTGCCTGCTTGTCGCGGGAGTACAGTACAGTCGGATTTCCCGTTTCTCAGGCTCAAGCGACTCGAAGCAAGCATGCAATGACTCTGACGATGGCCAGGGTGATGGTCACGAACAACATCCGAAGGACATGAAGACTCTGGCGAAAGGTAATCAGTGAACAGCCTTGACAAGCAATTGCCCTCGAGGCTCACTATCTTGCCTTATCGTCGGCAATTGTACTGTATGTTAAATTACCGGTGAGTCGTTGGGAGGCGGTCCGGAACTAGTCGCAGTCGCAGCAAGCTGGAAGACCACTAGCCCAACTAGGCAGTTTCACGACCTGCCCGGCCTTGCACCGAGAGCAAAGAGCTGGCAAAAGAGACAGGTCCTCCAAACGAGTAAATTCTCGGGTACAGTACGGTAAGACGACCGATTTCAAACCCTCCAGGACTGTAAGACGTGCGTTGTACGCCATTGCTGGTATGCAGTAAGATTACGACGGTCTTGGCCGGGATCATATCCACCAGGTAGGTCACGGGCCGTTGACGGTGCTCCTGGTCGCATCAACTCCTGGAAGACTAAGTTTAACACGAAATCCAACCCCGGACCTCGTGACCCGGCTGGATCGGCCAGTATCGCTCCTGAGAGCGCAGTAGGCACGGGGGTGAGTTTCACTTTCGCATTGCCCCTTCCCCAGAAATGGTTCAGTACGAGCATACAAAGAACTCACCGCGAGTTTCCCCCACCGGCTAAGGGAGCTTGCAACAAGGAGATGGGAAGCTGGAAAGTTTGGGGTTCTCCAAAAACCCATGGACCGAGGTTGCTTGCTTGCTGGCTTGCCTGCGTGCCTGCTTCGGACTGGTGAGGGTAGTGGCGGCTGGCACCGCCCGCTAAATCCTCCCAATTCAGTCAATTGCAACTGTCGCGACCAGAAATTCGAAGTGGACATTCCCAGGACCCCAAGGCCGGCCGGACCGCAGTGGACAAGCAAGCGTGCGCCATTTTGTGGGGGAAAGGAATGGCATTGGAATGAAAGCAACTTTGCGGTTTTGTGGGGGATTTCCCTGGATCCGGCGGGTAATGTCCCAATCGTCTCCGTTTGATCCGTCCTGGCGGGTGGATCCATTCGGTCATCACTCCTTGAATAATGAGAGGACTTTTCACTCCGTAAGTACAGTACACGCTCGCTCGCTACAAAGAGCTGGGGTTTCAAATCTCTCCCCAAGGCCCGGTTAACCCGCAGCTGCCTCAATCTTAGCATCGGCCGGACCCGCCAAGTTGCTTGCCCGATTTTTCGGGCGTGGGCAACATTCCTCAAAATATGTTATCGATGTTTCACATCAACGTCTACCCACTGACAGGTGATCGTTACTCCCTGTGCAAGTCTTCTTGACCCATGTCGGTGACTGAAGAATTGGCATTTCGGCGCGATTTTTGATAATTATTTTTGGTTGAAAATACCCCGAAGCACAATGGTGGCATTCGCTCAAGAGACATCGCAGTACAGCTCCTGATTGGGTTGTGGCGCCGGGACTGGTTGATCCGCAGACGGGATGGTGGCTTATCCATCATTCCTCTCGCGACTGGCTAGAAACCGAAATCTGGAGAGCCGATGTAGACGAGAAATGTGTCATTGTGTACCTGCCTAGGAGTAACCTGTCGTGGCTCGAATTTCTGGAAAGGATGGCCAACCAACACGAGCGATCGGTCAACCGCCGCGTCCACGTTGCATTGGCCCATTTGACTTCGACGGGTTTCGATTGGTCTCGAGGAAATGGCCCACTGGCTTTGAGTTCTCTGGTAAATAGTCCGAGCAACAGACTAAGGAAGATGCAAAGCAGGAAGGTTTTCTAGTGCTGCTAGAACATTGCCCGTGGCGAGCCGTGCGGGTACCTGGCCAGTAGTGGGCTACAGGGCGCTCATCGCACTGGCAGTTAGCGAAGGTACGGTACCATCTACCTCTTTGGGAAAAGAAAGGATATACATTAGAGTATATTCTTTCGAAGTTCGCGAGCCCCGTATCTGCGGATGGTGTACCGGCCATGCTCCCAGTGGATGCGCATCCCAGATCTCAGGACCCAATCTTGTTGATGGCCTCGCGCCGTTTCCTCTCAGATGCATCGGTTGCATACTGTGTACCACTGGGGTAGTAGTACGGTAAGATTGACAACGTGTACGCCGGGACGGAGTCGAGCAGAGAGAGACCCTAGCGGGTGAGGATCCACCAGTGGCCCATGCTTGGAAAATGTGGGGGTTCATTGGGATCAGTTGCCGCTGTAAGCTCTTCAAAAATCAGTGGGCTTACACGAAACTCCAACCATCACTGGTCCGGGAGGGAGTATATCCGTCGAAAGTCGGGGTGTGTGTAGTGTACAACTAGTAATCTTGCTGCACAGGTGAGGCAACCAGCGATCAAGCCAGGATTAGCCGCCTTTGATGACCATCCCACAGTATGACGTCCTGAGGCAGAAATTGCTTACCACTGCTACCTCTGCAACCAATATCCGTAGAGGTTAGCCTATGCGTGCTATATATAGGCCCAGTATGAGTGACACCATTCCACGATGATCATGGTCAACAAGTGAAGCCATCGCCGATGGGTGGACAGTTCGCTCCGACATCGACCGAAGGTCCGGCTCTGAAAGTAACGAAGTGGCAAGGAGACGGGAAGACAGACTGAATTTCAGTTTCGCCATCCATGCTGGAACACGTCGATGGCTGAGAGCGAAGAAAGAGAAGGCGTAGTGGCATAGTACTTGAATGGGAGAGTAACTTGAGTGATTGTACAGTACTGTACTGAGTAGCAGAGTTCAAGGTTAGTAGTAGTTTACTGGTGCCCAGTGCAGGTGGCAGACTAGTATAGTACTAGGTAGACCAAAGTAGACTAGCTTATTGCACGGGCCGCGACCAAGGGGGCCTCGACACCTTAGGCCAAGTTAGCGCCGAGTCGGCTGCTGCACACCATCTTCAAGGTTCCTTCCTCTGCACCCATCCATCCATCCATCCATCAATCCCGATCCAACGAGGCACCGCCTGTTCTTCTTGCTCAGCCTTCACTTGACTTGACTTCTTCGGCGATCGGAGCAAGATCCTAATTGCGGGTGTGCTTTCTGTGGAAACCCTGGTGATGTGGAACTCACCCATACTCTTGTCACCTATCTAGCTAGGTACCTGTTAACCTGCTTCGCAAGCTAGACTCGCACGATCCCCATTTATTACCGAAGGAGCTGAAGCTCGATCGGCTAGTTAGCGAAGTCAACCCTTTTCCGACCCCATCTGAGGTGCCACTACGGAAGATCTCCGGACTGTATCCATCCACCGCTCAACCGTCTGACAAATGACATTGTGTCGCTGCCAAAGTGGGCGATCGTAGCACCGTTCAACTGATCTAAGAATGTGACCTCCACAGACACCTGCCATCAAGCTCTGCTTCTAGGGAGGGAATTGGCCAGACGGTTTGTCTTGACCATACACAGAAGCATACTGAATTCTACGCTACCGCTGGCCGAGAACGCCCCTGACAGCACCATCGTATAGTGCAGTTTCCCAGCACCGAAAATTCCTTTCCTCGTCAAATGGGGATGGTAGCTCTTCGGTGGCCTGCAGCCGCTGATGCAGTCTTTATCGCGACTTCGCTAGAACGATAAGACAAGGCCATAGCCGCGGGTGCCACGGAACACTATGATCCGACGCAGGATAATGCAGTGTGTCAGGATTCCGCCTGCACTTCTGGGCAGACAAAACACAGGACAATCGCTTTGTAGATCCTATGAGACGCGAGTAACGAGCAGAAAATTCTCCGAGCTCGTGCGTGGACGGAATGTATGCAAGATGGCATCATGGGAGGATGGCGATCCTGCACCAACACGCTATCTCTCACGCTGCTCAGAAATTGACGCCTTCGTGAATGTGTCCAGCGATCAATATGTTTTAGAAACAGATGGGCTAAATGGTATTCGTATCGCGGGAGGCGATGTATGAAGGCAAGCCGCTGACTCGGTTTGGTACTTACATGGCCAATGTGAACCCGATGAGGCGTTTTTCTCCCAGTCACACACACGCACTTAGTACTGTACTGCTAGGTAGCAGGTACAGTACTAGTCTACGCCAGTCCCACTCAAGACCAAAGACCAAAGGGAGGTGTTATCACGAAGGGGACTGTGATTGGGTTGTGCTGTTCTCAAATATAACTCAGTGCTGCTTGAGTCATGCTTGACTGGCCTAGCACGCCATTCACTATCCTGATTACTGGCACTGGTGTAATAAGAGTCAGGGTCATGATAGGTGCTGCGATGATGTTAAACACTCCGATTCCGTGCTAGCCACTGGGAGGCGTCGTTGGGTGTCCCACCGACCCACCATTGGAGCTCTGACCAGTCACTAATTTCCAAGGTGTTACGACGGCTTCCTCGTGCATCCTCTGGTCCCGTCGATGCTGCCGCAGAAGGTCGGGCTCGTGCTATAGCAAGATACTGATATAAGTGATCCACAATAGCTCAGGCTGTGGACCTCGGACAATAACGGTCATGAGCCACAGCTAGTTGGGAGTGAAGATGTCTTCACCCGTTTTCCGGTCCTATTTGACATTTGCGAGCCCTGCTGGTCTCAGCCAGCCTGTCCTTCAACCGCCAATTTGGGCTAGTGCCTTGGAGTCATGACCTCTGGGCTTGAATCTGTGGGGATTCGCCGTGCGCCAGCTGTTGCATGATACGTATCATCAGCAGAGGTGGCACCGAACTAGTCCACACGAGCCCTCATCCTGCCAAATGACGGGCCGCGCAAAGCACTGTGGATGGTGGTTACCCCAGCCACTGGATCCTAGCCTGGCAGGGATCCTCCCTGACCAGACGGGTGTTTAAACCGTTCCTGGTGCTACCGCAGGCGCTAAACCGGTAGGATGTGCATAAGTGTATGCACAATCATCCACTAGTGCTGGTGCGAGAATAACTGACTCTGAGTCTCTGGTAGTATGTACTGTGCGCCGTATCGCGACCGCGCCCTGACACTCAGTCTCCAACATCTTAACTTCTTATTTCTTACACTTCCTAATCTTGTGTCATACAGGGTAGTGGGCACGATGTGGAGCCGTGCTGCGGCTGAGCCTTGCCGATCCTGCGCATTGGGGAGGATTGAGTCCTGAAATCGCGACGCGAGATAACAGCTACATCGCCTGGGGCAGTGGGGAAGCGACGAAGAAGGTCTGAGGATGATTCGCCGGCAGGTCCGTGATACCAAATGCTGCAATTAGACTGTTGATGCAGGTCGCCCGGCACGTCGACGGTCGCCGATCCGTGGTCTGGACGTCCAATTCTAGGAGAAATGACGGACAATATGGCATGGTGGCTGGAGTTATCATGGTGATCGGAGGCAGGTTGCCGCTGATAGGTAGCCGTAATTCCCGCCCGCCCTACGGCGCGAGGGTTGACAATTACGATCCTACTCAATTACTGAGGACCATTGACAGGCAGGCACGCCATCCTGCCCACAGACTGTCCCCACGGCCCGCCGTGCAGAAAGCGTTGATGATTTCTTGCTTGCTGGCCCCATCGATCACTTGTCAATTGTCCGTAGGGTGGCAGAAGCACAGGCCGAGGGGCGGTCCCTGCAGCCGCCCTTCCCAACAAATGTTTGAGCTTGGTTGATCTCCGACATCAACCGGAGAGTGACCTGAATAGTGGACTGTTCCATCCATCTCCAAAAATACAGGGTGGCAATCTTTAAATAGTGCTACACGCCACTGGAAGTTTTTTTTTTTTTTTCTTTTTTTTGCTGGTGGGCACGGTGACACTACTGCATGAGAAATCTCCTGCGTGGGTGTACGGGACAAATCGCGCGATTTCTCCCGAAGAAAAGCCGATCTGCGACGGGTTGAGGCTGGACCTGCCAAGCCCAGTCACTTCAGTCCATTAAGTTAGTTATCGCCCGCGATGCAACCTGGTTGTTTGCCCCTGTCCCCTATCTCGTACCTACTTTGCGTCTGGGAGTTTTGGATCTTATCGCCGCCATTTTTCTGATTACATTATCTCGCTTGTTGCATCGGATGCTCGTGCCGTGCATCAGGCACTGTCGGTCGAGATTCGTGGACTTGACGCCAGGGTCAGCATATGTATGCCATCCTTGACTGGATGCAAGTGGTATGTACGCCTCTGCATGAGCACGGGTTGAGATGGTTGGTTAGGACTGCAGTGCTTTGGGGATTGACGGGTTTGCCTGTGTTGTTAGTATTCGTAGGAATCGACATCGTAGTATGGTGGCCAAACATAGCAGTCGGTCAATAAGTGTTGACTCCGGTTGAACTACTGGGTCTACGAGCTAGAACGGTGCTTCACTCTGTGTAGGGTCGAAACCATGCCTCATGATTTGTGGTAGAAGCCCTTCAACTTCGTCTAATGGTTTTGAGCTGTGATCACTCATGCCGCCAGCCTAGCATCGACATCTAAGTACATCCTCCCATGTGAGCCCATACACATGGTGCGTTCTCTCAGAACGAAGAGACTACTTGACATCAAAGAATGTCCCAAACCGAGAAAAAGACCCTGGTTCATGTCTAAGCCCTCGTCTCCCAGGTAATGCCCAACACAATATCTCATTCCTGCGCAGCTACACATGTCTGCGCCGCTACACATGGATCGTGAAGATATAACGATAAAAGATGAGAACCTGGTAGATATAGAGTACCCAAAGACCAAGCCCAGCGTAGGAGCTATATCCACTATCATAGTCATTCTCAGCATCCAACCCAAACCTCAACCCAACCCATCAAGTTCCAAAGAACGACAAAACCCAGCTCTCAGCATCAAAACACGATTGCCCCAACCCAACCCAATCGAAAGGCGCATCTCACCCCTCTCCCCATCTCAACCCCAGACTAGTACCCCCAATCACCCTCTCCCACAAACCCTCCTCTCGCGCCCTCCTCCAAATCCAAAGAAAACCCCTACAAATCCGGCCAAAAATACACCCCCTCATCCAAATCCTCCCTGAGCGTCTCCTCAACAACCACAAACCCCTCTCGTTTAAGATCAGGCAGTACCCCCCCAATCAACTCGGCCACGAGCCCCCCGAACACCACACTCCCCTGGGCATTGAGATGGGTCTGATCATCGGCCACGAGATTGTACGTCCACGCGTCCGCCGGCCCGATCGCATTGAGGTAGCGCGTGCTCGCGGCGTTCAGGTCGATCCACCGCGCACCGGTCGCCTGGGCGGCGGCGATCGTGGCGGCGCGCTGGTCGGCCAGGTTCTCGACGACGAGGGGCGTGCCCGTCGAGTTGTCGTAGCCGCGGCGCGAGAGCGGCGTGACGAGGATCGGGGTGCCGCCGGCGGCGCGCACGTCGCCTACAAACACCTCCAGGTTGCTGGTGTACTCGGCGATGGAGATGTTGGCGGCCGCCTTCTGGTCGTTGTGGCCGAATTGGATGGTCACGTAGGGGCTGTGCGTGCCGGATGCGTGCGCGCTGGCCACGCCCGCGAGCACCGTCGCCCAGTAGCCGTCCGCCCGGTAGCTGACCGTCGTGCGCCCGTTGACCCCGTAGTTGGTCCCGGTGGCGCCGTGGTGCAGCGTCGTGTTGAGGAAGCCGTTGCCCCAGCCGCCGCCGCCGGTGCTTTGTTTGGCGGTTGTGCTGTCGCCCGCGAGGAAGAAGATGGGGGGGATGCTGGTGGGGGCTTGGGATTTGGGGGAGGGGGAGGGGTGCGCCGTGGTGGAATGGGTGAGGAAGGGGAGGAGGGTGAGGAGGTTGAGTTTCATGATGGTTGAGGGTAGGATTGTACGTTGAGGGTTGAACTGGGTGGGTGGGTTGAGGTTCGTGATGCTTTTCGAGTGGTGAACGGCCGTCTTATGTGTTGAATTCCTGGATGTCTTGCGGTGGTTCACCCCACCAACTGGAAGAATCCAGCGTCAGTTCCAGCAATCATGGCACGATTGGCATCCTTCTGCCAGGAGTGAGGGTGGGCGGGCGTGACTCTGCAGGTTTGCTGCCAAGGGCCTGCTCCTCGATGGCTCTGTCACTCCGTGATGCAGAGAGCAATTGACGCAAGAATCATCGTCATTGCCCCGCGTGGGGCAGATCCCTGAGAAAGTCTGTCTGGCTAAAAGTCCGAGGGGTCTTGGAAATATATGCCCGAAAGCAGTCCGCGCCTTGAATGGACAGGTTGATGTGGGTGAATTGTGCAGGAGTTGCTCTGCTCGGCCAAGCATCGCCCGAGATTAAATTGCCGTGCGGGGATGCTTGCTGAACCTGCAGCTGCCGGTCGAACGGATGTGAAGAAGGGATGGGAGAGAGGAGAGCGCCATGGAAGATTGAATGTAGTTAAGGTGACTTACAGGAACTCAAAATGCTACGTCATAAGTTAAACTTCAGGTGATGACTTGTAGACTGACTGTAACTGTTGATAAGTGCGGCAGCGCTGTGCAGTTAGGGCATCCGCCAGCCATTACAGTCGAGCCACTCCATCTCAGTGTCCAATCAACCTCGAACTGCGCCTTGAAGATAGAGACAGTGCTCAATCAGGCCAAGACCACAATCATCGTCAACATCCTGCTTATCGCAGCCAAGATATCCATCGCGCTCTCTTCCCCCATCGGGACAGAAACGAGTGATAGCGGGAAGATCTGATAAAGACGCCGCCATCTCATTCGAACCTCTTATCAACACCTCGAGAATGCCTTCCCAACGAGCCCATCTCGCTACCCCAGACCTCCAGATACACTGCCGAGATTTGGGGTTTATAAACGGACCCCTGCGGCAATGACAGCCATGACGACTCTACGACAGCACAATCATGAAGAAATCACCATCGGTCGTCGATCTCTCGCGGGAGCCGTCCGCAGCGGACAGGGCCCCCTCCAGCCAACATGGTACCCTCGTCGAGTTGAACCAGACCAAACGCGGTCTCTCCTCTCGCCATGTGCAGCTGATGGCCATCGGGGGGTCCATCGGAACAGGTCTGTTCGTGGGGATTGGCTCCTACCTCCGCGACGCAGGGCCCCTCTCCGTGTTTCTGGGATTTCTGTTCTACGGGATCTGCTTCATCTGGCCGGTCAACCTCTGCGTTGGGGAGATGTGCGCCTATCTCCCCATCCGAGGGTCCATCTTCGAACTCGCCGCGCGGTACATTGATCCCGCCTTTGGATTTGCCATGTATGTTCGCCTTCCTCTTTCTGCCATCCACACCCCATCCTCAATCTGAACACATACTGAATGCAACAGGGGCTGGGTGTACTTCTACGGCGGGCTGATGCTGGTCTGCACGGAATACGCCGCCGTGGCGACGGTCATGCAATACTGGAACACGAGCGTCAACCCGGCGGTGTGGGTCGCCATGGCCATCGTGGTGTGCTTCCTGCTGAACATCGTCGCGGTGAAGTGGTACGGGGAGACGGAATTCATCATGGCGTCCACCAAGATCCTGCTGCTGCTGGGGCTGGTGCTCCTGACCTTCATCACGATGGTGGGCGGTAACCCGCACCACGACGTGTACGGCTTCCGCAACTGGGAGCACGGGGTGATGTTCGAGTACTACAGCGCGGGCGCGACGGGCCGGTTCCTGGGCTTCTTCTCGGTGGTCGTGTACGCCGGGTTTTCGGTGGCGGGGCCGGACCTGCCCGCGCTGGCGGCCGGCGAGATCGCCAACCCGCGGCTCACGATCCCGCGCGTCGTCCAGATGACCTTCTACCGCATCGTGAGCTTCTACGTGATCGGCGTGCTGGCCGTGGGGATCATCTGCAACGCACGGGATCCGCGGCTGCTCAGCGCGCTGGATTCCTCGTCGGCGGTGGGCTCCGCCGCCTCGCCGTGGGTCATCGGGATCGAGAACCTAGGCATCCGGGGCCTCCCCGGATTTATCAACCTGTTGATTCTGCTGGCGGGCTGGTCCTGCGGCAACGCCTACCTGTACAGCAGCAGCCGCACGCTGTACTCGCTGGCGCGGCGCGGCCAGGCCCCCCGCGTCCTGTGCCGGTGCACCGCGTCCGGCGTGCCGATCTACTGCGTCGTCGTCGTCTCGCTGCTCTCCTGCATCACGTTTCTGGTGGCCAGCACCTCCGCCGTCACCGTGTTCTACTGGTTCGTCGACCTGACCACCTGCGCCTTCGTGTTGACCTACACCAGCATGGTCGTGGTGTTTTTGGCGTGGTACCGCGCGCTCAAGGCGCAGGGGCTGGATCGCAGCACTTTCCTCCCGTGGGCGTCGCCGGCGCAGCCCTACGCGGCCATTCTGGCTGTGGGGATTGGGTCCGTGGTCACGCTGTTCAACGGGTTCACTGTGTTCGCTCCCTTCAGTGTCCAGGGGTTCGTGACCTCGTACTTTGGGATTGCGTTTTGGGTGGTCATGTTTGCCGTCTGGAAGGTGTGGAAGCGAACGACCTGGGTCAAGCCGGAGGATGTCGATCTGTTGGCTGGCAAGGCGGAGGTCGATGCCGAGTGTCGCGTGTGGGAGGATGGAGGCTTGGAGGAGAGGCGGAGGGAGGAGCTGGCGAGAATGCACTGGGTGAGGAGGGCTTGGGAGAAGATGTGGTAGCGCTGGGGGCGTAGCTTTTACCCATGTGTGTAGTGAATACGCATCGAAGAATGACACTGCTTGCCAAGGTGCTAGATTTGCGTCGGAGTCTACAGACATAGCCATGTGCCCTAAAACCCTCCTGACTGCACCCGAACATACTACACGAATCTGAACTACCGTACAGCATGAGCTCAACCAGTCCAAGCTCCCTCACCCCCAACAAAGCTCGGACAAAGCTCTCGCAGGCAAGAATGACAGCATACCTCGAAGAGAGCCACTCGATCGCGCTGGTGGACAAAGAAAGATTCAGTCAGACTGTGCGCAAAGAGCTCCCAGACCAATGGAATCCCGACTGCCCGTCACAGTAGAAGTGAACTCGTGTACTCTACCGACACTCTCCGACTAAACCCTTGCTACCTCGGCCCATGCCACAAAGAACGCCCAAGGCGAAGCATAAAAGGAACTCCGCCAGTGCGACAGCGCAAACGAAGCTGAAAGCATTCTTTGTGCCAAAACAATCTCTTTGTCCGCCTCTTACGCTTCCCCCGCTTTCTCTCGAGTGCAGCCCGCAGAATCATGCACTACTTAAACCCTGCGTGTGTATCCATGGTTGACCCCTAACCATCTACCAGATTCTCAGTCAGAGAGACCAGTGCTGCTAGCTGAAACGTCTAACGTACTGTACTGTCGACATCGAGGAACCCACTAAACCAGACCAACCTGCAAGTCAAACTATACAGCATATTATCTATCCACCATGCCTCATCATTGGTACGTCCTACCACATCTTCTCTCCTCCTGCCCTTTTCTCTACCCCCAGCCCTGATCCCTACACCAATCCGATATCATAAGAAACACGCTAATATCAAACAGCACCGTCTGCAAAGACACCGTGAAGCCGACCTGCTTCCACCACGGTCACGTGACCAGATGCCGCGCGCCCACCTGCAAGCTCGTCTACCAGAGCTCCCGCGAGAAGGACTGCCCCTACTGCCGGAATGCGACGCAGAAGCGGGCGGCCCGCGAGGGTAGTATTCCCAAGGACGAGGGTGATGATGCACTGACCGAGTCTGCTGGCGGTGATGGGAGCGATAAGGAGAATGCCCCTCCTTCTGCTGACGGAGCGCGAGCCCAGAAGCAGCAGAAGCAGCAGAAAAAAAAGAAGAAGAAGGGCAAGCACGTGCGCGAGACCCGCAGGTTGAAGGATATTCGGCGTGGGAGGCGGTTGAATTAGCCTCCGAGTGGGATCTTGGGGTAAGATTCTTGGCCGGTTGGGAGGCCGGCTTAGTGTATTGTTTTGTTCAGGGTCGGAACTCTTGATTGGAAACAGAATGACCTTTTGGCTATGTCAATGTCAATGGGGATTTTGGTTCTGTCATGAGTGTAGATGGTAAGTCTGCCATGTGTTACCTTGGACTGGGGGGGGGATGTATCATACTAATCTCCAGATCTGTGTCGTGTACTATAGTAACTCGCGAGGTAGGTTGCATCACAATGTAACGGACCCCGGTCCTGTTCAAACTTCCAGTTCGGTGAATTCATAGAAGTAATTGTATTATTGTAGATGAGACCATCCAGATAGTTGATCATAGCCACTACTTAATCCCCAGCACAGCTCAAACATTGTAAACCGACATCGCCGGACACATCCCCACCAACTTATCCGTCTCCACGCTGGGCATGAACTTGGCCGTCTTGCCCGCGCTCTCCGCCCCCTGCGACCGCTTCTCCACCTCCGCGAACGCAAACTTCTTCTCCGGCAGTAACTCATACACCCCCTGCGCGTACTCCGGGGCCACCCGGTACAGCTGCGCCAGGTACTTGGCCTGGATCTCCGGGTACTCGACCACGCGCAGCAGGCGCGCCATGTTGTCGTGCAGGTGCTGGCGCTGCGTCTCGTCCATCACCCGCCGGTACAGCTCGCGCGGCTGCTCGTACTCCGAGTCCTTGCCCTCGTGGTAGAAGTGCGACTTGCGGCCCACGTTGCTGTCCGCCACCTGGTAGGGCGTCTCGGCCGTGTCCGGCCGGAATTTATGGGCGAAGCTGTTCGGCACGTACTGCGGCTTCAGGCCGTGGTTGGCGTCCACCCGCATCTGGCCGTCGAAGTTGAGCGAGGAGTAGGACTGGGTCATGAAGGGGCAGTTCACTGGATTCGTGTTAGTGTCATGTCCACTGAGATGAGATGGAAAGAGGGGTGGAGCCATACCTGGGACTTGATGAAGGTTAATGCCAATGCGGTGGTACTGGGCGTCTCGGTAGAAGAACATGCGGAACTGCAGGAGTGGGTCAGGGCTGTCTTCAATGCCGGGAACCATGCTGCCAGGAGAGAAGGCGGCTTGTTCGACGTCCCGGTGGAAGTTCTCCGGGTTCTTATTGAGCACGAGTTTGCCAAACTCCATCATCTGGGTCGCTGTTAGCTACTGCCTTGGGCAACGCTCATCTCGATTCGCCTACCGGGAACTTGTCTCTGGGCCACACTTTGGTGACATCGAACGGATCGAATCCCAGCTTGGATGGATCGGCGTCCTCGGGCTGCATGACCTGCACGTGAGCCGTCCAGGAGACCTTTTCACCGTTCTCGATCGCTTTCCAGAGGTCGCGCTTGGAAAAGTCGGGGTCGATACCGCTGTGCTGCTGGGCCTCGTCGGCGGTGAATTGTTTCTGGCCGCCGTCGGCAAGGAAGTGGTATTTGATGTAGACGAACCGGCCCTCGGCATTGACCCTGATCTATATTAGAGTTGCGGTGCTGATATCCTGTGCATTACTTACCATCGGAAGGTATGGCAGCCGTAGCCGTGCTGGTTCCTCCATCCCACGGGGGTCCCATGGTCGCTGAAAAACATCATTCCTGCATGGTTAAACTGGTGAGAGTCAGCCGGGTCCTTTTGCGGTCGGAGGAAGACATACCCCTCTGGCGTGTTTGCAAGCAGATCAAACAGCGAGTTGTGGTCCAACAGGAAGTTCTGCGGGTTGCGATACTGGGAGCGGATCACATCTGGGCCTTGGATCGGGTCGCGACAGAAGAAAACGGGCTGGGTGGGAATCAGTGAGAGTCTTCGTCCGGGTCTCAGCATACGCATACGAAGTTCAATCCCACAATATCATAGTTGCCCTCGCCGGTATAGAATTTGATGGCAAAACCGCGGGGGTTCCTAGCGAGATCGGGGAACTCTCTGCCGAGGGTGACGGTGGAGAAACGGACAAAGACGGGGGTTCGGACACCAGCCGATCGGAGAAAGTTGGCCTGGATAGTCAGTCGCGCTGTCTAGTTCGATGAAAAGATAAGAAAGGAAGAAATTACTTTGGTCAGCGAGGAGACATCCTTGGTTGTCTCGAAGTAACCGAAGGCACCACTGCCGCCTAGTGACATACACATATGAGTGAGTGATTTCCCCAGTGACCAGTGAAGAAAAGTGAAAACCCACAAGGATGGACCATGCGCTCCAAGTTCTTGGAACGATTGAAGTGCTGCTGTTTCTGTAAAAGAAAGGTATCGGAAATGACCGGAATGCCGCCCGCCGTCTTGCTGTGAGCAGGATCGGGGAAGGGAATGCCTTCGTTGTTGGTGAAGTAAGAAGCATCGTCGGCGCGCTGGCCGATGGATTGCACCCCCGTGAGTTTGGCGGCGGTCTGGGCGGGTCCCTCGTTGGCCCCCTGGAAGAGCGAGTCGGTCGGCGCCATCGCGCCTAACGCCCCGCCTAACACTTGCAGCGGTCGAGTAGTCATCACTTCAAGGTTTTTAGCAACACACAGTCACAATTAAGTGTCTCTTTCTTTCTTCTTCTTTTCATTACAATCCTCCTTTTAACCTTGTAACCTGCTCTTATAGATCAATCGCTCTCGTCGTGTCAGACCAATCAAGTCCAATTAATTACCATACGGTCAGGATGACGGCCACACTCCTGTCCCCACTCACGTCACCAATATCACATAGACTTTCTATGAATTTATCCCTGCTTATTATTGATTTAAAGTCATCATGACAGGTCTAGCCGCGTCTACTGTACTCAATACCTGAATAGCCTTTTGACACAAGGTTATCGCGGAAAGTCAATTGCCTTCTCAGAATCCTGCACTCATCACTTCTCCGCGGAGGGAGCTGTGCGCAAGCTATATAACTTCGATGAGAGATCTGCCTGGCGATCTCTTCCTGCTGGCTTCTCTCATTCGAGAGTCCCATGGGAGCTCAGCTCCAGCTCGCTGTCTCCTCGTGCCAAGGCAATGCGCTAATCATGACCGTGACTACTTCAGTCTCTCCCATGCCTTCCTATCACCCATCTAGCTCGAAGGAGACCAACCTGCTTTCCAAACCCGCACCATCCGGTCGCTGCCTGAGGCATGTAACAATCGTTACCCGTGCAGAAGTGGGATGGAATGCTGCCTTCCTGGCCTTATTGGCTGGAGTTTTCCCCGGCCATTTGTCTGCGTGGATGCGCATTGTAAAATGTGGTACTATGTAGATGTGGATATCCATTTTCATTCAACCTATCAAATCAACGGTATGTTTCAGCATCTCCGTCGCGTTGGTTAACACACAGCCCGCTTTTACGCCGCAATGGCTGTACCATCTGCTTAAGGCGCTTTCGAGTCGAAGGGGTGAAGTCAAATGTCAAATGAATCAAGGGGGATCAAATCCTGGCCCCCTACCTGCTCCTTGGGTGTGGCTTGAACTCTATTGTGTGCGGTCTTGTCCATGGTGGCATGTGATGCTGTGCGTAGCGGCGCAGTGCTACTGAGTACGGATTACAAAGAAAAGGGGATCTCTTTTTGTAATCGGAACACGGGCATAAGAGACTAATCTCCTGTTCTGATAAGACTTACCTGTTCGCTACCTTCTTATCGTTCAAAGCGGCGCAATTGATGTCCCAAGCTTGAATACCGGCAGATTTCGAGCAGTGGAAGAACGGTATCCAAATGAACTTACCGCTAGGATGATGCCATCCAATATTGTCCTTCTCAAGCCGTCCTTTCTGGTCCATACATTGCCCAGCATCTAGACGGGCGCTAAAGCGGGCTAACCGCGGGCTACGGCGGGCTACGGCGGGCGCCTATTTTTAGCGTAATTCGGGGAATGATGGCGCCCCGGATGATTGATGCGGTCCATCAGCATCAGCGTGCATCAACACATTCACTCATCACAAAGCTTACCACTCCATTGATCGCGAGTCAGACGCCTAATGCAGGCAATCTCCTACCTCTTTATCTCAGTTGTTCTAAAACAGGTCTGTTCAAGCGCTTGTTTTCGTTCTTCCAGTGTGTCGGGTCTTGCGAGCGGGCTTGGAAGGTGGAATGACCGGGAGACGGAAAAACCATCGATCCCGCCATGTAAACATGCGGAGATCGGCTTGTCCCCGTCATCATCCAACCCACCCACCCACATGCAAGGCACGTTCTGTACCACGGGACCTTACTCTACATAACATCACAAATGAAGTATCGATCGCCACTGGTCTTGCTTGTTGTGTCTTGTTTACCAAGACATCTTCACCAAGGGACCTTCACCCGCAACGGAAACGAATCTCATTCAGCCCGCTGCAGCCTCACGCGACTACTGCAAACTGCCAGTCAACGCGCCCCCGAAAGCTCGCGACACCAATCTCCACAAGTCCTTCCTGACAATGTCTCTCTAGCTCTAGTCAACAAGACTTTCAAATGAGCACCATTGTGTTGTGCCATGGTTGCATCATCCATTCCACCAGGGCCGCACAGGATCACAACCCCATTGTCAGCACCCGGAATGCCAATATTACAACCCCCACAAATCGCTGTCCTCCCAAAAAAAACTGTCCAATTATGTCGACATCGACGCCAAAGCATTCTCGCGAGGACTCGTGTTTCAATCAGGTCGAGAACATCATGCCAGCCTAGCCTCGAAACCAGCCCAGATACATCACAATCCAGGCTCTACTCCACCATCCTCGAAGGTGATATCTGGCGGAGAAGATATCCTAGTCCTGTGAGCGGATGTTGGTGGAGCACTTAGCCTCCAGGAGACTCCATCCGACCCCCCTTGCCGGTTATGTCTCGGATAACGTTTGCGGGACCCCTCCTCTGGTCGATTGGCTCCCGCAGTGGAGCGTTCCGAAGTGAAAATGTAGACTTCAAGACCTTCTTCTACGAGTCGCCTATGGCACCGCAACCCTGGAGCCTTACCGGGCTACCACTTCATTGACCCCTGCGCCGGCTCACGGAGTGCTCGTGAGTTTGAGTTCATGTGCACATGCGACAGGCATGGAGACTCGACTCTGATGGTGGCCGACGTGAGCGAGGGAAAGTCAATCCTCGAAGACATGACTCGTGTACTGCCCGTAGAATATGACAGACGGACAATCTCCTCGCCGAGCAGGAAAGTACACATTCCAAAGCCTGTGTTGTGGCCCGAGCCCGGTTAGGCGACCGTAGCAAAGAGCAGGTCTTCCTGGCACATATCCTTCCCGGCTAGCTCTTCCCAACGAACCTATTCGCCTGGAACATAGGCATGACCTCGCTCGGGGTGAAATTCCTGCCACAATCGTGCATTTCGGCGAAGATCATCCTGGCATGATGGTGATGTACGTTCAAGAAAGGGCCCGGGCCTTGTTTATGAACCTTCAATCACCCGTCCTTTCCCACGATTCCTGTTTTTCTGTCTCTACTTTTGTGGCTGGCTCATTTTCCAGCCTATCATTGACTGGCAGTGTGACCAGGGCTGATCTCGCACGGTGCGCATAGATGGCATTCGTCACCCTCGGTGTCCTACATCTATCGCTATGCATCCGGGCAACAACTCGCCCATTGATGAGGAGATCTTTATTCCCGAGTCTCTCTTGGCAGCCGCCACCACAAGCGAAACCTGGTCACAGAGTCCCCGACGAGAGATCCCCCGTCAACTTCGAAGTGGTGTACCTCCGGATGAGGTGCGCGTGCACAAACGAAGACAAACCACCACCAGTTGGCCGACTGCAGCCCAGAATGACACGACATCTCACTCGGTGGGCCGTCCCCTGAGCACTAATGCCAACAGAGGCGACAAGATATACCCGTTGTATGAGGATTGTGTGGTAGTGGAGACCCCCGAAGGACCTCAGGCGGTCCCTCATTCAGCGGCCGATGGCCCTATCCCCATCTCCGAGCTTCCAAGTCACCCCGTCGCAGAGCTACCAAGTCACCCAACCCCACCACCCAAAGCACGCACAGCTCGATACTCGCTCGACGGTAACGGTATTCTCAACAAATTCACAGTGTTGTCTCCATTCCCACTACGCCAGACTATCAACGCCGCGGCCGAAAGAGCCCGTGACAGCAGTCTTGGGACGTTGTACGACAAAGCCAATCTTGTCCAAATCAAACATCAACGCAGATATTGGGCTCGGATGCTGATCGAATATGGAGCATACACGATACTCCTCTTATTTGTGTACTTCGTGCTCGTGGGTCAACCTCTATGGGGCGGGGCTATCTATTGGCTATACTGGGTAATGCGCAACAAATTTGTCTTCCAAGGTGGATGGGCCATTGTCATAAGTCTAGTGATCTTGTAAGTCAGGCTCTTCGAGAGGAGAAGGCGGTCCCCGTATCGTGACTCACGATCGCACAGCTACTCGTTTGCACCGCTGTTGACTCTCTTCGAGAAGGATCTTCCCGACCCCGAGTACTATAGAGATCGTAACATTACCCCGGGCGCCCCGGACACAGCCCTCTTGATTCCCTGCTACAGATCCGCCCCAGTCATTGGGCAAACGCTCGAGGCCGCACTGAAGATCTTCCCCGCATCGCATGTGTACGTCATTGCGAATGGAGACTCCACCAACCCCTTGGACAATACGGAGGAGATTTGCCGTCGCTACGGGGTCAATCATATCTGGTGCCCGGTCGGATCCAAGATCATCGCTCTCTTTGTCGGTTGCTACGCGGCCAAGGTCTTTCGTTATGTGCTCCTCACTGACGACGACTGCATTCTGCCTGCGAACTTTCCTGTCGCCATCTCTCGGCTGACTGATAACGTGCGTTGCGTGGGCTACACGATCAAGGTGGTGGGCTCCGAGTCATCCAAAGGCACCTACTGCCAGCAAGCTCAGGATCTCGAGTACAAGCTCGCCGGGCTGCAGCGCACCTTTGCCGGTCGCATCGGCAGCGCCACCTTTCCCCACGGGGCAATTTCGCTCTGGGAGCGGGCATTCCTCAAGGATACGCTTCAAGATCACCCGGGGTTCTCAATCAGCGAAGACTGGTTCTTGGGCAACAGCTGTCGACGACTAGGCGGACGGATCAAGATGTGCAGCATGATGTTCGTGGAGACTGCGGCTCCGCCTGCCTTTCTCTGGGTCGACAAGGACCAGAGCCGAGGCGGCTTTGGGGAGATGACCGTCTTCAAGCAGCGATTCCTGCGCTGGAACTTTTTCGTCGTCAACGGCATGCGATACAACTTGGCCTACATTTTTGGTTCCTGGAAGCTGGGTCACTGGGAGATTGGCGCGAAGATTTTTGTTATGCAAGAGGTACGTCCCTGTTATGTTGGGCGTACAGCCAACCCCGCATGCTGACTGAGGCATAGGTGTACGAAACCGTGCTGAGCATTCTCGCGCCATTCATCCTGCCCATATCGTTGGTCGTGCGGCCTTCATTCTGCATTAGTCTCCTGATGGCGACCTTAGGACTGTATCTACTGAACGCTGTGCTCTTTAATGAGATACATCTTCGACTGAAGAATGAACGCGTGAGCTGGAAGGTCATCGTTGCGTACTATGTACGTTGTCCAAATATACGTGCTGTGTCATTGCTAACAATATGTACCAAAGATGCCCTACAAAATGCTCATCGCCGTGATCAACGTGATCAGCTGCTACTGGTCTCTGATCAAGTATGCGAAGTATTTTGCGCAACGCCGACCGAAGCTGATCGAGGATCACAAGGCGGTGGGGATTGTGCTGAAGCTGGAGGAGATCCGACGACACCAGCAAGGGGGACTTGGGCGCAGTATGACTGTGCGCACGGTCGGCGTGCGCAGCCGCGACAGTAGCGTTGGATGAGCTCGGGATGAGGGGGCATTGTGCCCGCTATGGATATTGAGTGCTGAAAGGCTCACTTCCTCCACGTTGGTATAGAGCATGCTCGCAGGACCGGAGGCTGCCATCCATGGAATACCCCCGGCTTAGACCCCGCTCCCCAGGTCAATCCAATCCGAACAGACCGTTCTCCCATTACACCTCCGAACGCATCGCTCTCCCTGTTGCTCGCGATCGGACTATTTACCGCAACTTCACCACCAATCCAATCTCCCAGCACCTCTGTTCAGAAGCTAAACCATTGCAAACGAGGACCTCTAGCGGCAAAGGATTATGTTGCAAAATAAGATGGAAAACGAGCTTTCGGCGGGTTGAAGGGGGTTCAACCTTCGGCGACTTTCCGGTGCATGAATTCCCGCCGAGCGGGTCGGAGATTTAGGCGTAAGGTTCAACCCCTCGGCGGGTTTCCCGGCGGTTCGGCGATCGGGGTTGTCGGGGGTTCAACCTTATCCCGCCGAAGGGGAACCTTAACCTTCCGAGGTCCTCGATGAAGTCTGTGTCAGTCTTCTGTTTACATTTTCCAGATGGAAGGCTCTTAGCAGGCGAAACCCTGCCTTCGCTACTATTGTGCAGCAAGTGATTTATGTTTGTCCCTGTTGGATGGAATGAGGAGGATGCAGCCTGGGGGTTGTGATAAATTGGCCAAATCCCACCGAGTATGAAGATATATTTCTCCGGCACAGGATCTTGCACTGAACACTATACGTAAATCAAGAGTATATGATGTTTGACGCCCCCACTTGAACCTAGATAATCTAATTTATATTCGGGGGTTCAACTTGACCGAGGGGAAATTTCCGGTACTCAGGATATCATACTACCGGTGCATAATAATGATCTTCTACACCGATGCAAAACCACCGAGCTGCGGGATAGGTATCTCCCCTTTGAACCGTCTGCGCCTTATCAAGATATACTATCTCTACAACGCTAGACGGTTTCGCGTTGCTGATTTCCCAATTTCCCAATTTCCCAATTTCCCTTTTCCATTATCTATTTCCGCCGTCTCTCGGGAGTATTTCTCGGCGAGACGTGTACTCAACTAACCCATCTGCAGAGCTTCAAGTCCTCAAGCTAAGTTTTGATTCAAAGATGTTATACTCCGATACCAGGAATGCAGAGACAGTGATCCCGTGATGTGGAGGCTCCCACAAGGGCACGGTGCTACCCGAAACAGCCCGCGGATCGGGATTGCCTGCTGGTGCCGATTTTTTTCGGATATTGCGACAAACCCCAATTGTCTTTTCTATGAGTGAGAGAAAATGAGTGATAAGACAAGAAGAAAAGAAGAGGAAGATAGCTAGAGCCAGAGTGTAGAGATACAGACAAGACAAGACAAGACAGCACAAAAAACAAAAGAGAAATTGAGCTCCGATAGGGGGAATCGAACCCCCGGCTGCCGTGTGAGAGACGGCGATGTTAGCCACTACACCATATCGGATGTTGTTGAATTCAGAGGTTTTCCTTTGTCTTGAGTGGGGCGTTAGAGCGACCGAAGTCCCTCGGCACGCCCGCCCGTCCTTGAATATCCGCAGGATCACATTTATATACTAAATGTACAAGATAGAACGGGTTCCATGAATCGGGTTATATGCCGAGGAAGGATGGGTCGATCGATTGTCCAATACCATGGATTGTAAGGTAGCGGGTCGGTGGGAAAGCCTTAGACATCTCCTGCCTCTGTGAAAATCGAAACTTATTGCTTCTAGTTGACCGGAAGTCACCTCGACTGCAAGTCCCTTGTATGGCTATGTCCAGGCCGCTACCGAGCCGCATACTCCTCCACATGAACGTCATCATAGTCCCCTATTGACCTTTTAGCGAATCCTCACTTGAACCGGCAAGCATACATCAAAGCAAAGCAAAGGAGGGGAACACCTACGCTCCGAGGGCAGAGTCCGCGGCACGGTATCCCCCACAAAAGCGAGAATCTGATCTCGTAGCTTGCGATAGCTGGGATCATGTGGGCCGGCAAATTTATTCAGCCCGCGGTGATCAGTGGGTAGGCCCGCCTGGTGGACGGAGGTGATGCCGGGCCAGGCGTCGGTGGATTCGACCAGCACGCCCGGCTTGGCCGGCCGCTTGAACGTGAGTGGGTTCCGTTTGAACTTGGTGTCGTGAATCTCGTAGTAACAAACGGTGGGGATGGTGCGGTTGTGGTTGGTGATTGCCCTCTCCAAGCCTTGGCAGATTTCTTTGAGAAAGGGCGTGTGGACAATGCTCAGAATGTTGATCAGTCGCCCTCGGCTCAACCAGTCGAGGGCTGATAAGTCAGACTTCGCCTGACACAACTGCACGATGTGGGAGTGGTAGGCCTCCCATCGCTTTAGCCCTTCGTCATCGGCTCCGCGGAACGGAGTCCCGAGAAAAACCAGGCCTCGTAGGGAGTCCAGTAGCCATGCTTGTGCGTCGCGCCTGCCTTCGGCTTGGGCGAGAGCCTGTGAAGTTATAATGGTTAGCACGGCCTCAGTCTCACGCCCTAGGGGCTCGGGAACTTGGATGGGAGGTTACTGACACTGGCCAGCACTAGCCCACCAAAGTCACAAGCAATGACAACCGTGGGTTTTGGTGTCCGAGTCAGCGCCTCCTGCCACTTATGCCTGAGCTCAAACCCACGGCGCCATAGCACTCCGCTTATGATTCCGCTACCGAAAGGCATTCTCCACTCAAATGTGTATATGCTGGCCGTGGGCAAGGCTTTGGGAAGCATGTCGGGATGTGTAAGCCAGTTGACTTCAACCCCGCCATCAATGTGAGTCCAGGCTCCGTCTGCCGTGTTCTCCATACCATGGATGGCGATTATGCTGCGGCAAACATTTATCAGACATGACGCGGCGTAATAGAGCCCAAGAGGATTTTACACTCACTTCAACGTGTGGTTCTCCGGCACCACATGCGCCTTGAAGACGCTTGTGTGGCCCTCGACACCGGACAGAATGGGCTCTGGTAATTCGGACCGTTCGGACTGTGAAGACTGCTTGGCAGGATACCTTTGCCTTCGTCCTGGCTGTCTCGTAGAAGTGACCTTCCCATCTCGTAGAGTGCCAGAATGCCCCTGAGGAGAGACTATCTCGGAGGACGCACCTGCAACCTCTGACCTGTCATCTTGTTGCGGATTTCTGGTTTGTCCTGCGGCGTGAGACCGCTTTGCTTTATGTTCCTCAAAAACCGCGGGGCTACGACGAAGGGCCTGCGCAGACGCGGAATCGGGTTTTGAATGATGCTGCTGGGACGGAACTTTGCCCCTCGAGTTTGATATCTTATGCCTTGGAGGGTCTGTATGACTCAGAGAAAAAGGGCTTCGTGAAGAGGGTAAAGTAGGCTCAGCAGTACGAGCTTCTGGCAGTTCAGGTCTTCGGCGAGTCGGCTGAGCCTGGGTTTTGCCGCTTCGTATCGTTAATCCCCCCTTGGGAGTAGAAGGAACCTTCCCAGTTCCAGAACTTGGGTGACCCAGCGGAGAACAAAATTCGTCGCTGGTCGTTGCTATCTGGTCCTTTGGAGCCTTGTCAAAGTCAATGAACGACGTGCTTCGACCTGGCGTAGACATGTGGCTCGCTCCGTCAACCCATTCATCATCCGCCGCGACGAGCGTGGTCCGATTTCGATTTTGAATCCAAGCCATACCCAGAGCGACCTCTGCAGATATACGCTCGGTGGGTAAAGGAGAGATGAGCGCCTTGACAAATTCCACTCCATCCAGACACATTTTCCCCCGAAGTGGTCTGTCGGGAAAGGGTGTCCGCCCGTCACAGAACCTCCGCACGTCTCGACGCGTCGGAAATGGGTCTTGCTGAGTAGCGATCCTGAATACCACGCAGCCCAAAGACCACATGTCGGCTGCGTTATCATAGATTGATGTTGGTTCGTCGGTATCCAGATCTCCGCTCACCTCTGGAGCAGTGTACTTCGGGGTGCCGATGGAAGTGTAAAGGGCTGTCCTCTCATGGTTCACTCGCTTCGCAATGCCAAAGTCGCCAATCTTGACCCACCATCGGGCGACCGGGGGCTTTCGGGCCACGAAGATGTTGCCGGGGTTTGAGGTCGCGGTGGGTGAACTGCTCAGCGTGGATGATACGTAGGCCATTAAGGAGATTGGTGGTGATATCCTTGACCTCTTCCTCGGGGATGGACTCGGATATGTGGCTTTCGAGATCACCTAGTGGGAAGAACTCCATATAAAGATAAAGGTTGGAGGGGTCTTCCAACCAGCCCAGAAAGCTGACCAGGACCTCCTGCTGTTGGTACTGCGGTTTGGAAAACTTGGCCAGTGCGAGAATCTCCCTCTTGTAGTCGATGCTATCGCGTTCCATCAAGTCCTTTTGCACGACCTTGACTGCCCGACGATTGTTGGCCTCATCACTCTCCAGCCAGACCTTGCCGTATATCCCCCATCCTATGGGGTCGGGGCGGCGGTACCATTTCCTCTTCACGATGCGGATAGCGTGACTGCCATTTCGCTCGTATTCGGTATGGGTGGTGCAATTCTGGTCAATCACGGCGTCGTATTTGAAGTGTTCGAGCAGGTCGTCAGCTTCTAAGCCCAATCGCAAGGTTCTAATCTTATCAGCAAGTTCTGGATTCCCTTGCACCAGGTGTAGCAAGTCGGCATATTGCGACGACGAAATGGACATGGCGCTGCGCGTTGGGTAGCATCATAGCACTATAAAATCCGGAGGATGAATGATGGAGAAAAAAAGAGGAAGGAGAATGAAAAGAAGGTGGAAGCTGAACGGCCCACAAAAGGTGGGGAAGGAAAGAAGATGAGTTGAAAAGGACGAGGCTGGAGTGAGTGGGATGAGTGAGATGGCTTTCAAGTTAGTATGCGGGGGAGATGATTGACGATCCAATGGGAACAGTCGCATCACGAGTTGCTTTTTTGCCAGCGCGGGGTCACAAACAAGGACAACAAAACATCTCTTAAGTACTTCTCTTTCTCCCTCGTCATCACACTCATTCACTTCCTACACACCATGGACCCTGCCTCGTTTGCGTTTTCCGTTGCTTCCATGCTGCAGTTGTGCATCCAGTGAGTCTTTTCAGCACTATAGTCCCAACCTTCCTGCCCCCTTACTTTCCATGAAGCTGACCAGGTCAGCCTTGGAAAGGACTTGTACGCACGTTGTGAAGCATACCGTTCAGCTGAGCGCGAATTGCAAGAAGCCAATCTGAAAATCAAGGGTCACTGGATCAAGATCGAGCAACAATTGTCCGCACTCCAGGCCGTATGGGAGGCCCTCCCGGGTGCTTTGCAGATCCATCAATTCCAGGTGCTCCAAGTACTCCGAAGCAAGCTCAAGGCCGCAGTCAAGAGCATTCAGAGTCTGAGTGTCGACCTCGGAGCTGAAGCCTCACACGATAAACCCATAGACTCTTCCCTCGCGCGCATACTGCTGAAAGTGTCCCGCTTTGATCGGATCAAATACGCCGTGTATGCCAAGGAATCTCTCGAACATGTCGTTGAAGAGTTGGAGCAATGGCAGAGAACCTTCGACCCATCCTGGTTCTTCTTGAGTCGTCTGGCCGTCCAGACAATCGATCAGGAGTTTAGTGGGAAGAGGGCTGCCGAGAGCAAGGCCGTTTCGACAGTGGTAAATCTGCGTCGAGCCCACCGGATTCACGACATGGAGAGCTCCGCCTCGATTTTCGTGGGGAAGGATTTCGTCATTGGACGCTACACGGCGATTACTTCGTCTTCTTCATGGCTTGCACGCACCGATGAAGGGGTGGTAGTTGTCGACCGCATCCCGATCAGGCGACAAAACGACCTCCGTAGCCGCACGAGGGACGTTCGCGATCTAGCGCGCATCCTTTCCAAAGTCGATCCGGACACATTTGGCCTTCTGTCCTGTCGCGGCGTACTGAGGATGGAAAGGACCTTCGATCTTATTTTTCCTGTCCCACAAAATCAGCAGCAAGGTCCTATTGGTAGTCTTCGCTATATCCTGTCGATACGTGCTGAGCGCAGCTTTACTCTAAACGAGCGGGTGAAGTTGGCAAGTTGTCTGGCTCGATCGGTCGTGTTCTTACACTCGTCGTCATTCGTCCACAAAAGCATTACCCCAGAGAATATCATCATTTGCAGATCGCATGCAGACCGTCTGGGTACGCCTTATCTAGTTGGCTTCGACCAATTTCGACTGGCGGAAGGCCCGACCCACTTGAGTGGCGACAAGGCTTGGGAGAGGAACATCTACCGTCATCCACGACGCCAGGGGATACATCCCGAAGATGAATATATCATGCAGCATGACGTATATAGCCTCGGGGTCTGTCTGTTGGAGATTGGACTGTGGACTTCCTTCGTCGAGTACTCGGGAGATTACGGCCAGCCTATTCCAGGGCCTTCGTTATCAATCAAGAAGCTTATTGTTGAAAAAGATCAAAGACGAGCAGCCTACCAAATCAAGAGAATGCTTGTTGACCTGGCTCGAAACAAGTTGCCAGCTTTGATGGGAAACATCTTCACTGAAGTTGTCGTGTCATGTCTGACATGTCTCGATAAAGATAATGAGTTATTCGGAGATGAAGAAGAATTCCTGGATGATGACGGCATTTCCGTTGGTGTTCGCTACATCGAGAAGGTGTGTTGCTTCATGCTTGGCACATTATGGGGCTGACTTGTCTATCCCATAGATTCTATTTGCGCTTCAAGGAATTGCGGTGTGAAGACCTGCGACACCCGGCTCCATTACGAAGCCACTATTCCGGATACTGTAGAAGCGAAACAGAGTCTGCGCGTCTATATCAACTGGGCGGGGTCAAGTGTCGTCGTACTTGGGCCAGACGGAACTGTATTCCACGTAGAGGTCCCAGCTCGATTCTGAAGCAAGCCAAACAGGATTGCAACGGCATGACATCCTTGCACATACCCGTTCGCGTGCGGTATCAGCCCCTTGGAGCTTTTGCGTCGATCAGCTATCCGCGGATCCTCCGGCTTTTACTGCCTCGACTTCGACATCCGCAGCCATCAGCGTCGCGTGCTCAAACCTCTCTTTCACCTTACCCGTGACGTGCTCCAAGCCCCAGTTCCGCACGTATTTGAACATGTGAGCAGCCTCCTCGTACATGTCGGAATGAACGAAGCCATCTCTCGCCACTGATGGGGAGATTGCGTCCCAGAACCCCTGTATATTGTTCCAGCCTATGGTTTCCTCGTCGTGGACCCGAAGCTCGTCCTCTGTGAAATGTACGGGGCATGGAAACCCAAAGCCCATCTCTTCCCAGTGTCTGGAAGAGGGATTTAATTAGCGAACAACGCAGACCAGGATCAGTAGCGGTGTGAACTCACTTCTCAATCTGGATCAAACTATCCCTCAGGCGAATGATATCATCATCCCAGGCGTCGCCCACAAACTGAATGGGCCAACACCGCAGCATGCCGAATTCCTGGTAGAACACGCGATTGAGGAGTGGGATCTCTTCCGCCACTCGTGTCTGATAGAAATCACAGATGATGGTCTGTTCCATCTGGGCTTCAATCGCAGACTGTTCTTTGCTGCCGAGCTCGGCGAAACCTTCGGGAAGAGTAAGAATCGGTTCCCCTCAAAGCGGATAAAGCTTGGGTGCCGTCCGCCGAGCATGAGTGGGGTGCCCCATACGCCCTGTCAGTCGATCACGCTGGTAGACTCTCCGTCACTCACGAAGATGTTTGCGGGATTGAGATCGCTGTGGCAGAGGTACGGTGTAAGGATGGCGGGCTCGTTGGGGAGAAGATACGGTGCCACTTGGAGGTACTTGTCAAGCAGACACAGATGACTAGTGGGGCAGTTCTGGGTCATTGTGGCATCGTCGGGTTTCGGGATCGCATGTTGTTGTATCCAGGCCTTCTCGCGATGGGCCAGAGAGGTGACGTAGTCCTGTGGTTGCATCCCTTGAGGAAATTAGCTTGGAAAGAGAGAAATATGATATGGGAGAGGCGATATGAAACTGGCAGAGAGAAGGCGACATGAGAATGGAAAATCGTACATGGACCGCGGTCAATAGTCATTTGTGCACGCTCTTTTGTCCAAAAGTCATGCTCTGTCACTGGCCCAACCACAAGCCGGGTCGCTACTTGTTCTTGTATTTTCTCGGGGATATTTCCAACGAGCTGTGCCGGAAGAGCGCCAGGGATGTTCTCTGTGGCATAATACAGGCTACCGTAGCTATAACATGGTTAGCCTATCGCAACAAGGCAGAGGGATCGAGGTGTGAACCAATTCAAAGCCACCGAGAATAACTTCTTCTGCAGCGCAACAAGACGATCAGTGACCTTGAGCTTCTCCTCGAGAGCTAGGTCATCCCACACATCTGCCGGTCGATTCCCGCGGGCAACCTCCATTATGATGTACTCAGATCCAACACTACATCGACTATCCGCGCACCACGCAAGAACCTTTGGAGTAGGAATATTGAGAACCGTCCGAGCCTGCACAGATCATTTTCATGTGTGAGCAAGAGTTGAGAGACTGGGACCAGCGACGGAAGGAAGAGGAGAAGGATCAGACACGCACAAATTCCATAGTGGCGACTTCAAATGCTGTGGTGTAGTACTGGGGACCTGCGATTGAGTAAGGGATCTTCGCAACCACTTTTCTGCCATCGTCCATCGTGAGTAAGAATGTTCTGTTCGAGCCACCCTTCCCCCGCTTGGTGATTGAGACGCATTTCTCAGCTTCTATACTGCTGGCAGCAATCTCCTGAAGCGCTTGCACGTCGAAGGGCGTGAAGAGGTTCTGAAGTTGCTGTTTCTCATTCCACAGCCAACGGCCTGTGGTGAAGCAGTGTAGGTCCTCATTCGACCCCTGGAGCGTAGCCGTTGAACTCAACGAGCTCAGTAGAGACGCAGTTGTTAGATTCATCGAGCTGAGTAGAGACGTGGTTGTTGAGATCATCGAGTGGTCGAGTAGAGAGTTGAACACGATGAAAAGAATTGAGACGAGTGGTGAAGGCTTCTTTTGGGTGGGAGGTGATCGGAGAGTCGGTTGGATGTGATTGGAAGGTCAACAGTCGCGGAAGAATGAGTTTTGAGTGATAAGAGAGATTTGTGGGTGATGAGAAAATCAGCTGTAAGTGATAGAAGAGTCAGTGGTGAGTAAAGGGAGAGTCAGTTGTGAGTCGAGCAAACAAAAGATGTCTAAAGAGGAAAGATGACTGGCGTGCCAGTTGGTGTACCGCCCCGGTGGTGCTACCTACCTAGTAGTCACTGCAAGGTACTAAACCTTCCCTTTTGCGCGGTCCTGTCTGAACTTGCTCATGATATGCTCCTTTGCCTATTTGGAGTCTGGCTTGGCCGGGTCAACGAGAATCAGGATAGACCCGCTGGCTATAGTTTGAGTATGTGGGTTCAACCACCTTCTGTGGATTGTCTTGCCAACCTCCGCCCACAGTACTCAAGGAACCAGATATAAAGTCCCTAAGTCCCAAAACCATAATCCTCTCAGTTGTAAATCACTCATGACATGCACACCTTTGCGTTTTGCTCGCTAATCACTTTGCACGTGTCCATAGTTGCAGATGCCTCAGGGGCTGTACAGGCAGTTGCTCAGTTTTGGAATGAGTGGGTCCGTTGTCAAGATATTTGAACATATATGCTCCATCCCGGTTGATTGATGAGCAACGGAAGAGGATAACAAACGATGTGAATGTTCGATAGGCATGACGTCAAAATCAATACAAGCCGGTCTCTGCAAGCAGGATCTCCTAACCCGAGTGTGAAGACGGAACAAAAAGGCGGTTGAAGCAATTAACAGGCGGCCAGGGCGGTACTCAAGTTAAGGACTTTCTCAACTTCCATTGCCACTCTCTTGTCAAGACATAATCTTTTTCATTGCTATCTCTTTTCGGGACATTCGGTTCGGGTAAATCCGTTTCCCATTGTGAGGTAGGAATCAAATCTTCTCAAGGTGCACAATCAAGGAAAGCCTGGAGACTCCTTTCCGTATAAACGGTTATATTCCGGCCACCGGCTTATCTTAATCCATGGCAGCCGGGTTGGCAAAGAATAGCCCATCTTCTGTCTGCAGCTTGCGACCGTTTCTTTGATCAACATGATGAATTTGTGGTCGTGCCAGGCAGTATTCTGATATCCGGAGTTGGATGGGAGAAGCTAGTGGACACTTTATTGCTCGGGACTCTTGCTTGAGCGAAGACATTAGCATCCTGGATGATCTTAAGTATTCTGTTTGACGGTGCGCGCCCTGGCTGAGGATAACCAGCAAGATATATACATGCGAGTCGCCTCCACTCTAAGGTACTGGACTACCACCTCTTGTCCTTGGTTGGGTTTGTGATGGTAAGAGGAGATAAAGATATTCGGCAACATGGTGCTGTTGAAAGCTTGGAATGATGTTCTTGATCGGAGTTGGTCAAGGTCGCTGATAAGGAAACTATTTGACCTCTTTTAGGGAGCTTGAGAAGTGATTGGTGTAGACTACGATGAGTACAGCGAAGGCTTTCCAAAATACCATGTCGAATTCATTAGAGGTAAATATCTAGATGCGGCTATTCCAACTCAAACCCGGATGATTATAGTAATATCCTAGCGGTGAATATTTACACTCATGCTGAATCTAAGACTCATTGTAAGACTGGCAATTTCGTCTATGACAGGTTACCAGTTTCAACAACATTAGGGATAAAGCGCGAATGTGCCAGATTGTAACCCAGGTGTTACTTGTTGCCTGAGAATGTTGAGCCTGGTCAGGAGCCTATGTTGAAGCCTCAGGCAACAAGAAAATGGACATACTCGAGGCTGCAAGTGGGAGGCATGGAACAGAGCCCTATCACATGACTAGCATCCAGCTTCCAGAAGCCTTCATCTGATTGAATTGATGCAGTAGTCATCAGCGGGTGTCAGGAAAGGAATATCTTCTCCGACACAAGGGCATCAACCGTTTTCCTTCTGTCACCATCTTCATCTCCCCCGACCCTCAACCCAAGACCAAAGTCATCAGCCCATCCACGTATTCCCTTCCACTATGGCAGAGAAAAACACACACATCGTCGACTCGGAAGGAGACGTGATACTCTTCCATATAATGGAGGGAGAAGAGCATCGTATCCGAGTATCGACCAAGCACCTGATTCGAGCATCGCCTTCCTTTGCAAAACTCTGCACCAGAAGAGAACAAGAGAGCACCGAACCTTCGTGCAGCAGAGAGTTCTTGCCTGACTTCGAGGGGTTGAGGCTTGAGCCCATCCTGATTTTGATGCGGATCATTCACGGCCAAGCGTCTGTGCTGCCTGAAGTAATCGACCTCCCGACACTGGTCGACCTGGCACTGCTAGTGGACCGCTGCCAGTGTGCACCACTCGCCCGGTACTTCGCCCTACAGTGGGTCGATAATCTCACCGCGACAGGGAGTCCCTCCGAGTACGGCAAGGAAGTGATGGAGTGGATATATGTGGCATGGGTGTGGAACCTGAACAAAGAGTTTGAGGCAAACACTCTTGTCGCCGTTGAGACAAGTTACGAGGTGGTGCACTCTCACGATCTGCCTTTGCCAGGGAGGATTATCGGTCTGTGAAGCTTTCTATTCCTGTCATAATCACATTACTGACGGTTTAAGAGAGAGGATTAAGAGGAACCGAGAGCAAGCTATTGGGAAAGCCATAAGAAAATTGAAAAGAGCGGAAACAAAGTTTTTGAAGGGTACTGGTGAATGTTGTTCTCACTTCAGTTCCATTATGTTGTGGTACCTTCAGAGGAATCTTTACGATGCCAGCATCAAAGACCCTCTGTGGCCGAAGGCTCCATATATCGGCGAATCGTATCAGAGGCTGGTCGAAGAAGTCGAGTCCTTTGTGAACCCTGAGTATGAGGACGGAGAGTGTGGCAACAACAAGTATGACTTGCAGAGATTCCTCAATATCCGTAATCTTGCGGTGGGTGTGAAACTGAAGACCCTCACCCACAGAAGCTATATCAACTCCGAATAACTTAATGCAAGGTCTTGGTTTTTGGCATCAAGCTTTATCACCCATATTCTGGAATTAAGGTTGTTTCTGGATTTTGTTCTTTCCATACCGTCTCTGCAAAAAAAAAAAAAAAAAAAAAAAAAAAAAAAAACAAAGGTGTGCGGGGTCAAGCCAAGGCAAATATGATAGAATCTACTTGGAAGATATTCACTCAGTGTACCTAAAATCATATCCATAGTCGCCCGGGGACAGCACGTGATCCATATGGAGATGAAATGAAATGAAGTTAAACAAAATGAATCAACACAACACACAACAACTTTCCTGTACCATCGCGTTCTTCCCTAATCCTTCAAATCTCTTTGAGCTCAGCATCGTATAGTTGTACACCATGTCCGACACAAACATTTACTCCTTTCATCCGGAGGGAAAGGTCATCTTTGTCCTTACAGAAGAGCCATCCACACCCTCAGACTCCACTTATCGAGAAGATCACGAATCTTGTAACTTTGGATTTGCTTCAGCGCGCTCAGGAACATGTAGCTTGCAGCGTTCCTACATCGACCTAGCTGAACTGATTCCTAAGGATGATAACCAGTCGTCGTCAACAATCGCTCTAGCCCTGAAGGTAAGCCCTTGCGCATCCAAGCTCGAAACCCGACGCTCAGACAAACCTTTCATAGAATGAAATCCTCAAAGGCGAACGGACCCTCTCAAAAACCCATCCAGCTCCCAAGTATCTGATACAAGCATCCGAGAAACACCTCGCTCTGTCATCGCCCGTATTCAAACAAATGCTCAGCGGCCTCTGGAAAGAAACCATCGACCTCGCAACAGAAGGACACATCCGATTCGAGATCAAGAAGTGGAATCTGCAACCCTTCCTCATCTTTCTCCAAGTAATGCATGGCCGACCAGAGCCCAAGAGTCTGGATGTGGACACAATCACCGAAGTGGCGCTCCTAGTCGACTACTACCAGTGCCTGGCAGAATTTCGACGCACCATGCGTGCATGGCTAAAAGAGGTCAAGAAGACTCTGAGTCCTTCCTATGAGACATATATGAAGTGTCTGTGGGTTTGCTGGCAACTCCGTCGATCAAGCGATTTCCGTCACTTCAGCAATCTCGCGGTGTACTTTGCGGACGACCTGATCGAGGGCGAGGGACTGCCATTCCATCCTGTCGTGCTGGGTATGACTCCGCCCCTTCGTTCTTCATGCCGTAGACTGACTGTCATGCAGACAAGCTCAACGCCGCCCGGAAGAAGGCCCTAACGCCAATAATCCGCCGCTTGCCGATGCACTACAACAGCGAAAGGCCCGCCGAATGGGTCCACAGAGGCTTCTGCGGCGAATGCGCAACATTGCTGAGCGACTTGCTGGACCTGGACATTCGGCAGGCTGCCCGTGAGGCATACCCGGTTAAGCCTTTTTCTGGTCTGAGCTTTGCTAAGCTCGTCGTGACGGAGTGTCGAGGACGCCGGTGCCAGGATATGGGGATTATTCATATTGAGAGGATGTACCAGACTGTGGACCACAGTGATGCTGGCTCGGTGTCTCGGTTTGTCCGCAAGCTGAATATCAAGCCGGTTACCTTGGAGGAATGCTTGAAGATGATGGCCAGGTAGGTGTGGATGACTTCGTTGGGAACCGCTTTTTACTCTTGGTGTCGATAAGTGGATGTTGAATATCTGACTTGGTTGTGTCTCTGTGTACTCCCGGTTTTGTCTTCTGAACTGCTCTGCTTGGTCGTTCCTTCAGTGAAGTGCTTGTAATTTAATGATGCAGGAGAATGATATGTCAGAAAATGATAGTCGCAAATCACAGTTAACATAGTTCTATCCTCGTAGTCAGGAGACTTTCCTTGAGTAATCCAGAGAGACACCCTGACTGCTGACTCTATATGAACGTGGCCCTATATTCATTCTGAACTTCCAGGACCCCCTGATATACCCAGAGACCAATAAATGTGTCAGGCCCCGCTGGCCAGGACCTGCTGACCGCCTGTTGCGCCTATGTTGATAAATCCGCTCTCAGATAGCTCGCGTAGTTGAACTCAGCATTGATCGATGTTCTCAAGAGAAGAAATTGATGTTGCTCGCAGTGCAGTACCTAGACAGACGCTTCCACCGCCAAGCTCCAACTGCGGGAAGGAGAGAGCAAGAACAGCCCCAATACTGCCCGTTGGCTGTCAAGCACAACTGGAAACTACCATAAAAGAAAGCCGTAGACAACGACAAGAATCCAATTGTACAAGATGTGTTTGATTGATTCCACCAAAAGGATCGGGCAATCATCACGCAACTCTCCTCTCAAAGCAGAACAAGAGCGATTCACCCGGCCGTTAGGCACCGACCTGAGAAATGCGACTGCGCAATTGTGGTCCTAATAAATACTCACTCTGCACAAGAGAAAGAAACGCAATCCTTCTTCGATCCAACAACCATCCCCCGTCATCCCCTCAACCACTGCACAAAGATGGCATCCTCCGAGCAAGCCATGTCCCCAGCGGACACCACCGCAGACTCCGACTCCACCATCTATATCAGCCCCGATGCCACCGACAAGATAGCCCTGCGCATCGAATACCCCGTGCCCTCCTCTGCTCTGGAGACCCGGACCAGCCCCCTCATCGTCTCGAAGGCAGTTCTGATGGATGCGTCCCCGGTCTTCAACCGGATGCTCACCAACAACGCCTGGCAGGAGGCGCAGTCTCTCACCGCCACGGGTTTCGTCCACCTCACTATCGACGGGAACCTCTACAGCGAGACTGCGTTCATTGACATGATGTACATCCTGCGGGCAGACAATCCCTCCGGAGCGCTATGACCGGCTCAGCAAACTCAGGCACCTAGCTACCGTGTTGGATTACTGGGGCTGCGGGTGGGATCGAGTGCCCGACATGGACACCAGCATCGCGCTGGCCCTGAGAAAGGATCCGTACTGGGTCGACCTCGACACGGCCATGGAGTGGGCCTGGGTGGCGTGGTACTTTTGGGACACGGACGTCTTCGAGCAGGTCACGGCGTATGTGATCGGGCATTCGGAAGATAGAATCAGTGCTCATCCGCTTCGTCTCCCTGAGTGGGTGTGCGATAAGAAATTCATCTCTTTCTTTCTCTCTTTCTCTCCCTCTTTCGTTTTTCTTTTGTCAGTCATCGCATAGATCGTCTTTCGTGGCTCTCCCTTCTGAGAAGCTAAGCTACTGCGCTGGATGGCATTGGCTAACATACTAGGTAGCGAGGATGAAGAAATGCCGAGAGCGCGCAATCAAGGACCTTCTCAAGCCTCTCCGGAAGTAAGTCGAGGCGGTGTTGCGTCACAATTGTCTTATGTTGCACGATAGCGCCCGGATGAACAGGATGCCACCAAAATTCATCGACGCCGAGCCCAATTCCGAGCCATATCGCGGCGCGGACCGGTGCATGCGCGTTATCAAAGCAACGATCCCCAAGCTGCACCAGGAGGGGGGATCGCTGTATTCGTTGCCCGCGCCCCCGTATGCGGGGTGCAGCTTTAGGCAGCTGAGCCCCGCGTTATCCCGCGTTGTGCCTAAGGAGCTGGAGTCGGATCTGATGAGCCACGAGCCGTACGGGCAGTGCCTGGGGCCTCTTAGGACCTTGCTTCTTGGGCTGCGATGGGATGGGATGAAGATGAAGCGACTGACGATGAACGATGTTGGTATTGTCATCATCGCGTCAGCGATGGAAGCTTGTCCGTATCACAGATGCTGGAATCTCGACAGAGGCGATTGCAGGTTCTGATGGATTTAGGCCTTGTTGGTAGCGCTCGGTTTTAGGCATGGTTGTGGATGGTGTGCGGAAGAATGCATGGCGAACAGAGTACTTTGAGTTGCCAGATGATGAACAAATTACCAAATATTGAATCAAACAAATCCCAAGATGCCATATCACGCTAGTATATCCCGCCTTGCATATATAGATATCAAGTACAATTACAGCTTCGCCTCCCTCTGCAACCTCTTCACCTCGCGCCGCAAGATCTTCCCCGACGGATTCCTAGGGATGGCATCCACAAACCTGACCCCACCCCGTAGCTGCTTATAACTAACCACCCTCTCTTTCACATACGCCTCGATCCTCCTCCCCAGCTCCGCAGACCCCAGCACCCCCTCCTTGACGACCACATACGCCCGCGGCAACTCCGTTCCCGCCGTCCCGCTAGCCACCCCCACCACCGCCACATCCGCCACCACCTCCTCGAACCCCAGGATGATCCCCTCCAGCTCCGCGGGCGCCACCTGGAACCCGTTGTACTTGATCAGCTCCTTGACGCGGTCGGTGATGAACAGGTTTCCGTCTGCGTCGACGTAGCCCACGTCGCCCGTTTTGTAGAAGCGTTGGGCGTCGTCGGAGAACGACTCCGCGTCCGCTTTGGGGTTGTTCAGATACCCGCTGAACACGTTGGGGCCCGTCACCCATAGCTCGCCGGGGAGGCACTTTGTGCCTGGTGCGTGGGTGGGGGATTCCTCGCCGGGGACGGCGGCGAAGGTGGCGGTCATGTTGGGCATGAGACGGCCGACGGAGCCGGGGCGGGTGAGGGCTTCTTCGAAGGTCTATCCCAGTTGGCCGGTGTTAGCTATTGTAGATGAAGATGACAAGAAGAAAAGGGCCGTACCTGGAGATGCGTGCAAGGCGCACACTCGCTCATCCCGTAGGCCTGGCGCACCGGGATGTCGAGCTTCTTGCGCAGGGCGTGGATCAGCTCGAGGGCCAGCGGGGCGGCGGCGGAGAGGGTCATGCGCAGCGAGCTCAGATCGTACTGCGCCACGCGCGGGTTGGTCACCAGCTCCAGCACGACGGGCGGCACCACGTAGGCGTAGGTGATGCGGTGGCGCTGGATGGTGGTGCAGAAGGGGTCGAATTGGAAGCGCGGGAGGACGGCGATGCTCATGCCGATGAAGACGGTGAGGTTGAGGAGGTAGGTGATTCCTTTTTGGCGTGCATCGTCAGTTGGTTTTGTTCACAGAGACAGAAAGATAGGGCTACGGACCGTAGATATGGAAAAACGGCAGCACGGCAATCGCGCGGTCGGCCGCTGTCAGATTGGCCCCGTCGATGGCCACGTTCTGCGCTAGGTTGGCGACCAGGTTGCGGTGCGAGAGCATCACCCCCTTGGGCAAGCCTGTCGTCCCGGAGGAATACACCAGGAACGCGAGGTCTTCGGGGGATGCGATCGGGGGCTGGTGAGGGCGATCGCGCGCGGGAGAATCGCGGTGGTCGACCACCAGCGTGGGCGATAATGCATCCAGCACCAACACCCGGTCGCGCGACAGCCCCGCGCGGTCGGCGGCCTCGAAGACCACGGGTGCCTGTGCCTGGGTGGTTACCACGGCTTTCACGCGCGCGTCTGTCAGGGGATGGCGCAGCTCGTCGGCGCGGTAGTGCGGGTTCACCGGACACACCACCCCGCCCGCGGCCAATGTGCCATAGATGACTTCAGGGAGAGCAATCGAGTTGGGCGCAACCACCATCAGCACCTCTCCCGGTTGCCACTTCCATTGCGTCTGGATCGCCTCCGTGAAGGCGAGAGAGCGCTGGCGGAGTTGGCGGAAACTGAGGGTGTGGTCGCTCAAGGGATCCAAAAAGAGTGCTGTCGCAGTGGAGTTAGCAAGTCGCACCGACTTTGGTGATGCTCATGCAAATGTTTCGCTCACTTTTATCTAAAGCATACGGACGGTCGGCCCTCTCGAACAACAAAGTCCAGAGGTCGACATTGGGTATCTCAATCGCAGGAAAAGGCGACGCCATGATGGGACTGACTGGCAGCGACTGGCAGAAGGGGAAACAGAAAGACAACTCCAACAGAACTACCAACAACAAACAAGAAACGCAAAAGTAAAAAGATGAAAACAGCCGAGACTAGACTAGTTTAAAACAAAGAAAAATCACGGAAGGATATCGTCATGGAGCAGGAACTCCACCAGTTCTCTTGAATATCTTGAATATTTCGCATCTGCCGTGACGGAAGGTGCCCTAAAAGACTCCACCCGGCAATCTTGGATAGGATCGGGATGGGCATCGCACCAACCGACGTGCTTCCCTGCCGTGCCAGAGCCCACTGCCCCCCCACCGATCGTCCTGGAATAACTTTCACCATGTGGTTCGCGATCTGCACTCACTCGATTGGGCTTTTTCCGATCGGGACAATTGGTCCAAGATGCTGGGTCGGCACGGGAGGCACGGACAGGGTTCCCACCCCAGCTGAGCTTTCCCAGCTGCCCTGCTTGCTCGCTCTGCAAGCTTTGCGGTCCAAAATATCCGGGCCTGCTGGGGTCCGCTTGGAAGGCCCGGATATCGACGGGAATTTTCATAATGGATAGTTCATTGCTCCTCCACTGATCCCACTGATCGGCCCCTGCATGGGTCTGTGAAACAGAGGGTAGACGTGGTGGCGTGCTGAGTGCAGGATCCCTGCCCAGCTGGACAAATCAGCGCCTGCAGCGAGGCTTATCGGAATAGATTGCAATACGAGCAAGAGGTGCGATCGACAGGAGATGGATGCTGCAGAAATCGATGCCGTCAGTGGATGACATGGACTGCAGGCAGTTCGTGGCTGGTACTGCAGTGACCAGCGCCTATAAAGATGCGAGGTGCTCGTTCGGTGTTGCTGGTCAGACAGGGCTTTGTTTTGCTTTTTTTCCTCACGCACTTTCCATCTTTCTTAGCCACCTTGTTTTCTATTTTTCTTTTCTTTTCGTTCTGTTTAGAATTCTTTCTCGCTACACTCCCATCATGCCTCACATCCCCGAAGCACCTACACATCTGGCCACAGCCCACCGCACCTGGTCGCGGTTACAAGAGCTGCGGACCAACCCGGCCGTCGAGCTGGATGGCAACAGCCTGGACATTGCCTCTGTTGTTGCGGTTGCCTAGTATGTTGTCCTAGCCATGCATTGCATTGCATTACAGATGACCTTCAGACTGACCTCTACCCAGCCATGGCTGTCTTCCCAAGCTGTCCTCCGACCCCACCGTGATCGAAGCCATCACCGACAGTGTGCGGGTGTTGATGGATCACCTCGACCACGGTTACTGCGTCTACGGTACCTTTCCTCCATCCTGCTTATAGTTAAACTTTCTAACGCTATTCTGCTATTCTAGGAGTCAACACTGGGTTTGGTGGTAGTGCCGACTCACGCACGGACAAGGCCTCGGCTCTACAAGCTGCGCTGCTGCAGCTGACGCAAGCTGGTGTGCTCACGGCGGCGGACAAGGCCACAGGCGACGCGCGAGGACTGGCCTCGACGGCCTCGCCCACGGCCATGCCCAGCCCTTGGGTGCGTGCCTCCATCGTCGTGCGCGCCAACAGTAACGCGCGTGGTCATTCCGCTGTCACACTCAACGTGCTGGAGGGTCTCCTAGACCTCCTCCGCCACCGCATCACTCCTATCATCCCCCTCCGCGGCTCCGTCTCTGCCTCGGGAGATCTGATGCCTCTCTCCTACATCGCCGGAGCAGTCGAGGGTTCCCCCGACATCTACGTCCAGGTTGCCAACGCAGACCCCTCTGTTGCCCCCCAAATCATGTCCGCCTGCGACGCCCTCGCTGCCGCTGGCATCCCCCGCCGCGTCATGGGCCCGAAGGAGGGTCTGGGCCTGGTCAACGGCACGGCCTGCTCCGCCGCGTTGGCCAGTCTGGCGCTGCACGAGTCCCACCAGCTGGCCATCACCACCCAGGCCCTGGGTGCCATGGGCGTGGAAGCCATGATGGGCACGGCGGAGTCCTTCCACCCGTTCATCTCCGCCACCCGGCCGCACCCGGGTCAGATCGAGTGCGCGCGCAACGTCCTCGCCCTGCTGCAGGGGTCCCGCCTCGCCGTGGGCGTCCACCGCGAGAAAGACCGCAAGCGCTCCGGCCTGATCCAGGACCGCTACGCGTGGCGCAGCGTTCCGCAGTGGGTGGGACCCCAGCTCGAGGACCTCCTCCTGGCCGACCGCCAGCTGACCACGGAGCTCAACTCCTCGTGCGACAACCCGCTCGTCGACACGGCCAACAGCGAGATCTACTGCGGCGCGAACTTCCAGGCGGCGGCCGTGACCTCGGCGATGGAGAAGACCCGGCTCTCGCTGCAGATGCTGGGCAAGATCCTGTTCGCGCAGGCGACCGAGCTGGTGGACCCGAACTACAACAACGGGCTGCCCACCAACCTGGTGGCGGACGACCCCTCGTGCTCCTTCACGATGAAGGGCGTCGACATCAGCATGGCCGCCTACATGGCCGAGCTGGCCTACCTCGCCCACCCGGTCAGCGCGCACGTCCAGACGGCCGAGATGCGCAACCAGGCTGTCAACTCGCTGGCCTTCATCAGCGCGCGCTACACGATGCAGGCCGTCGAGCTGGTGAGTCTCATGTCCGCCGCCTACCTGTACATCGCGTGTCAGGCGCTGGACCTCCGGGCGCTGCACCTGCGCTTCCTGGAGACGGCGCGCCCGCGCCTCGACGCGCTCATCCGCACCTCCTTCGCCAGTCTGCCGGGCGACGAGCTCGAGTCCCTGATCGAGACCATCCTGGCCACCCTGACCACCAGCTGGGGCACGACCACCCGCGTCTCCCTGCCAGATCGCTTCGCGCAGACCGTCCAGGCCGCTGTGCCCATGATCGTCGACCGCGTCGCCGCTGCCGGCAGCGCGCAGATCTCGCTGGGCGACATTACCGCGTGGAAGACGCAGGCCATCGCCGTGCTTGGCGACGTCTACACCACCACTGCCGCGACCTTCAAGCAAACCCCGCACACCCAGGAACTGCTCGGCGCCGGCTCGAGAGCGCTGTACTCGCT